AAGGAGAAGGCCGAGTCCCCAACCAAGGAGAAGGCCGAGTCCCCAGGGAAGGAGAAGGCCCCAGAGGAGGTGGTCAGCAAAACCCCAAAGGTGAGCTTGGAGAAAGATGCCAAAGAAGAGAAGCCTCAGCAGGAGAAGGAGAAGGAGAAGGTGGAAGAGGAGGGAGGGAGGGAGGGGGAAGGGAGTGACCAGGGTGCAAAGGAATCCAGGAAGGAAGACATAGCGGTCAACGGGGAGGTGGAAGGGAAAGAGGAAGAGCAGGAAACCAAGGAGAAGGGCAGTGGGAGGGAAGAGGAGAAAGGCGTGGTCACTAACGGGCTAGACGTGAGCCCCACGGATGAGAAGAAGGGGGACGACAGAAGTGAGGAGAAGGTGGTGGTGACCAAGAAGGTAGAAAAGATCACCAGTGAGGGGGGCGATGGTGCTACCAAATACATCACTAAATCCGTCACCGTCACTCAAAAGGTCGAAGAGCATGAGGAGACCTTTGAGGAGAAACTAGTGTCAACTAAAAAGGTAGAAAAAGTCACTTCACACGCCATAGTCAAGGAAGTCACCCAGAGTGACTAAGGTCTGAGTCCATTGCAAAAAGGTTAAGCCATATGACAATTTCAAAATGCATGTGATTGACAGCTTCCAAACAGAACGGGTTCTCCCATGGGGGCTCCAGACATTGTATTTTACTTTGTGCAATATGAGGGAACTGCATGCAAGCTCAGGGTGCTCCCTCCTCAGTCTTTGGGGGATTCAAATGCATGATATTGTATGTACCTGGGGAATTTGCCAATTTCCCAAGCTGTTGGAAGGGGGGCGCTCAGGGGGGGGATGTCTTGAGATGTATTATGCAAAGTACCAACTGAGCCAAAAATAACAAATGAAACACAGAACTCTCTTAGCCTTAAGAAAGCTATATATGAATAATTATGTTTACCTCACTGGTGCATTTAAAATGGACTTTTGTTCATGGGAGAACCTCGCTGACATGCACAGTTTGCAACCTTATGTTGATCGATGTTAAACGTCACAGCAGTACTTGCTCAATAAAGGTCATATTGGAAACAAGGTCGGTTGCTTGACGTTGTGTCATTTCACAGTGAAATCTCTGCAACCTGAAGCTTTCTTTCCCTGAAATAGATTATTATGGGTGGGAATTGTGAGGGAACTGGACTTCTTACCACCATTTCCCTGAGAGCGTCTACTTGGAAGACATAATGGCTGAAGGTGTTTTCAGGTGTCCAAATCTTTATTTAACCCAAGCCTCATTCTAAAAATTTTAAAACTATATTCCTGCAATAGAAATAAAAGCACTCGATTTAAAAAAAAAAAAAAAAGAGGTTTGGTGGGATAGAAGTCTCCATGTTTCCATCTCCAGACAGAACTCAGAGAACTTCAGATGGGAGGAGCAATAACAGGGTTTTTCCTTGTGCCTTGGGGGTTAGTCACAGACCAAGGGTACTGTGGTATTAGCTCTGTCCAGAAGGAATAAGGCTAAAGTCACTAACACACCTCACAGGACATAGCCACGCCCCAGGGTCATGCTCACACGTGCACACACCTGAATCTCTGGTTCTTGATTTGGCCGGTAGAGAGTTGTATTTCTATTGTTTTACTAATGGGGGAAAAACAATGTCAAAAGTAAATAGAGCACCCTCCTTGAGAAAAGAAAGACAAAATTCTCTGACACAGGCAATAAGTGTTTTTAGACCACAGAAATCCTGCATTCCCTTTTCAAAATGTATTTGCTTTAAAACTTCACAAGTGTTAATTTATTAATTAGGATATTGCCTTTTGCAAATGCTAATTTTTATTATTAATAAGATCAGCCCAATGATATAATCCTTAACATGCTTTTTTAGTGGTCTATCGAGATATTCCAATTTTAAAGCCTAAAAGTAGCCAGGAACATCACTGTTAATGGCAGTTTTTGCTGTGATGCCTCCTAGTCATTTAACCATTCACAAATAATACAATTTTTTCTATATCTACATAACACCTGTACAATTATTTTTTTGTATTTTTTAAAATGACTCCTTTTATATTGGAGCGCTAATTTTTCTGAAGTAATAATGTCCATGATACCCAAGGTAAAACAGGATTATTTAAATATAATCAGGAAAAGGGACCCTGTGTCGGATTAAAAAATAAAAAAGGGCATATTGGAAGGATAGCAGGTAAGTTCTATAATGAGAAGATCAGCAGAGGGAGCAGGTGCTGAGAAGGAACAGCCTCCCAGAGACAAAGGACACTGGAATAATCACATATGGGTCTAATTGAACTCAAACTTCAGTGTTGCTTCATTGAAATTTCAGGAACAGAGTGTCATATATTTGTCTCCCATGTTGAGCACCAAAAGGAGGAACACCTTGATTGACAGTCTCACCAAAACTGACTCCAATGATGGAGAAGCAAGTTTCCCCCCAAAAGGTCGGGAACTGTTATCAGAAATGAGAGCAGGGACTGTACATGGTCTGTATACATTTTTTTAAATATCTACTAAACATACAAATATTATTATAAAAATACTCTCTTGCTCCTAAAATCATCTCACTAAATGAGAATACTTGTGCTAGTCCCTGGAACATAAACACCCCCCACACATACCCTTTTGTAGCATATACTGTTTAAAAAATGGTAAGATCAATCAACATAACTCTCAAAGCCAAAAAATAGAGACTTATCTCATCAGCACTAACTTTTTCAGCTCTTTTTTCCCCTAAGAATACTTCTATGTATTCTAAAAGGCAAAATCATTATTCTGAACTCTTTAAAAATAATAGAACAACATTCTTTTGATGTCATGCAAATATTTCCAAATAAATCCAATTGCCTGCTTGGTTAATGAAGTCAACAGATGTTACTAAGGACTGGGGTCTAGAAATAACAATGGTCTTCTTTTCCGGAATTACTTATTCTGTTGTCAATGCCAACTGTTACACTATTATTTAAAGAGAAAGTAATTTGAAATTCATGTTTCCAAATATATTCAGTGATGACAGGAAGAACCGGCATTTAAGCTAAGCCCAAATCAGAAAATTAGAGTACCCTCTCTCTGACTGCAGTCAATATCTGGCTTCAATGCCATTAAGCCATTGAAAATTAGAATTTCTACTTTGCCAGTAGATTGCTTTAAAGATACTATTTCATTTTATATAATGTGAAATATCTCAAAGCTATTTTTTCTCAAATTTTAAATATAAAGAAACAAAAAAAAAATTTTAAATCTTTCTCTGGGTCACACACACAGTAGATGATGGACCTGGGATTTTACACAGAGTACATACTCCTAGCCCCTATACTCTGCTGCCCCTCCGGCACGTCTGAGTGCCACCTCACTTTTTACAGAAGTTCAGTTGTAGTCATTTCTTTTTTTGTCAGACTGAAAGAAAGTAAACAGAATCATGCCTTCATTATGTCATTTGTTTAAATATACCTTTAGTTGTTGATGGGCCTTTATTTTACTCATTTTTTATATGCAGTGCTGAGAATTAAACCCAGTGCCTCACACATGGTAGGCAAGTGCTCTACCACTGAGCCACAATGCCAGCCCTCAATATTTAATTTAACGTCCATCTATCTTTTCACGGTCTATGGCACTGTGAGAATAAATTCTTGGATACAAAATATGCAGTGATTCCTTCTACCACACAGTTTGCAATGCACAAAAATGTGGCAAATACTTTTCTTACAGTAACTTTTATATTCAATTTTTTTAAAAAAAGGAAAGTGCTATTTCTAGTGCATTTCTTTCTATTGCCAGTCAGTGCAGAGACAGTATTAAAACATGAGGATATTCATTTCCACAACAAATAGGTTGGTTGTTCCAGTTTGGAACAAGTTCCTTTTTTCCTAGTGGTTTATATAATTTACCCAAAGGAAAACAGGAGCTATTTTTAAGTGAATTGTTTTTTTAGGTCTACACAAAATTTCTCCCTTTCCAGGGCCCCTTTAGAGGAGTAGAACTTTGACAAAAGTATTGGACTAGAGTTCAAGTCCCGATCCTAGATGGTAAAGCTGTGTGTCTTGGGACCATTACTGCCTTATTTTCTCATCTGTGAAGTGTGACTGCTGAGGCAATTCAGGAAGATGACATCCATGATAGTACCTAGCAGTGTCACAGGCATACAGTCGGTGCTCAAAAGCATTTGGTGAACATATTCAATTTTAAATTGGATCAAAGCTATAGGTACAGACTTTAATTAGAACATAAGGAAGGAATTGTCCCTTTAATTTCCTTACGTGTGATTTCAATACAAATTCTAATTACAATGTTTATAAAGTGATGGACATATCTGTGGAGGGAGATAGAACATGACTATCTGAAACTAAAAGGAAGTCATCCTCTTTTTCCTGCAAGTTTCTTTCTAATCAGGGTTGTTTAGTTGTCTCTGAATTGGACTTCTGAATGGCGTAAGTCAAATTGCAAATGTAGAACTCATCAAGTCTGACAAACGGCAGGTATCACTAAATAGAAATTTCTCACTGCCATCGTCGTCATGATTACTACTAGTTATAAATCGGAAATGAATACAGTCATGTTAGTTTTATTAGATTGCTGTGTCTGTAAGAGATGCACATCGAAACTCAGCTTTAACAGAGGTCAAGAGTGGAGGAATTAGATATCTTTGCACTAAGATTTACTTTCTATATGCACATAGAATCACAGCATCCTTGAGGTTGGATCAGCTTCTAATATTTAACCCACTTTTCTCATGTCCACGAGGTAGATTCCTAACCCACAGTTGAAGATCCACAGGGACAGGGCCGCACTTTGTGGAGATCCACAGGGACAGGGCCGCACTTTGTGGCAAGCTATCCCGACCAGCAGCTTTGACCGTTTGCAAGGCCTTCCGTTGACTGCTCTGATCTCTGACCCCACCTACTTTTCACCCACGGGTGCAAGTTCTGGGGACTCCTAGAATTCCTCTTCCCTACTCCCCTGGAATGGATATTCAGAGAGATGAAGACCTGGGCCCAAATCCAAACAACTCCTAACAGTAACGCCAATTGTATTTACTACCTACCAAGAGGTTTTAGCACTTTCTCTATAATGAATCATTGCATCCTCATAACAAATATATATGTTATTATTTTCATCACTATTCTCTGCAAAAGTTTGGGCAAAAGGAACCCAGGTCCTTCTTATATCACACCCATGCCTTTCCTCCTGTATACTTTTATAGACTAAGAACAGCAAGTATATATAATTATTCTTGCTCATGCTTGGGATGCAGCTTCTACCTTTTGGGCCTAGACTGTCCTAAATGGTCCCTATTCTCCAGTTTTTAGTTTGTGGAGAAATTAACTGACTTTCAGGACGTACTACTCTAAAACATTGTTACATAAGTGGCAGAAATATCACAGTCAACAATCGGTTTCCCTGGGTGACCGTGCAGGTTCCATTATCCTGTGCCTGCGTATGTAACATTATTTTGTGGAATCCTCTTTACCAGAAATAATATATTAAGATTCCAGTTGGTGCCTGAGGCATTACAT